CTTCATTCAAGGTAAAATGTAATGAAATGTTGTTGTATCAATGACATAGAATCATCATCATTTATAGCTAATAAATATTGCATAATTGGCAGGTATATGCTGAGAAATATGCTGAGGATCAAGAAGCTTTTTTCAACGATTATGCTGAAGCCCATGTCAAACTCAGCAACCTTGGTGCCAAATTTGATCCTTCTGAGGTTTGTTAATTTTGAGTGCTTGTGTTCTGTGCTTTCATGAAATATTATAAATTGTTTCTTCTTGCTTTAGTACATACTCTATTTTTTTAATGAACCTCAGGTTTAGGACCCCTTTGCTTTTGATGGCTCTTTTATTAGTAAGTTTATGGGTTCAAAGCATGCTCAATCTTTTGTTTGAGGTTGTATTCATGTAACAAACACTTAGTATAGGGATGGACCTAATAAGACTTGTCATTTTACTTTAGAAGTTTATAACATTCTGCATTAAAGACTAATATATACAAACTTGATACCGAGATTTTTCATATGTAAAATACATGCAAAAATTGTTGTGTAGTTGTTTTCTGGAATTGTTTCCTTAATACTTTGAATAGCTTGGATTCTTTTCACACAAACACATGCATCTTTAGAGTGCCAAATAACTGCAAAACCACCTTCCCTTAATCTTTGGGGGTCAGCCTGGCAAAACACTATCATCGTTTGTTATCAGAATGGCTCCCATTCTTGACTTCGGTTCAAGAAGTTTGCATCTCTAAACTTTGATAGGCAATGATGAAGATGACTTTTGACTTTCATGCTAATTGTTTAATTTTGTGATTAGGGTATCGTGATAGATGATAGTCCCGCAAAACCTGCGCCAGAGAAGTTTGTTGCTGCCAAGTATTCTTCTGGGAAGGTTGTAATTATGAGTTACTTTTTTCTGATTCTTTTAGTTAGTAGTTATCAAAAGTTTGTTGCAAGCTTTTTTTGTGTGAAAGACTCATATGGAGGAAATTGTGGATGTCTAAATTGTTTGTCTTCTCTTCTCTTTATGATTTTCTGCAGGATTAAAAAAACAAGTATCTTGTTTTCTTTCGCTGTATCTATAAATAATACAAGAAGCTTTATTTCAAATCATCCTGATCTCACAACTAAAACTTGGAAGTCTAAATGAAGGAGAAAGAATAAAATTCAATTAGTGTTGCCTATTTGAATTGCAGAGAGAGCTATCAGACACAATGAAGCAGAAGATTCGGGCAGAGTATGAAGCAGTTGGTGGAAGCCCAGATAAGGCTTTGCAGTCAAACTATTTTCTAAATATCATGATTGTGATTGCTGTTTTAGCATTTGTTACATCTCTTGTTGTTAATTAACTTGGTTCTGGAGCTTTATGATAGATATAGCATCTTTTGTTTACACTAATTTTTTGGTCAGTCTTCTCTCTACTTTCTTGCTTGAAATATTTCCTTGGGGTGATTATCTGGCACATCTGCATCAAGAAATCATAATGTGGCAATTCATATGATAATTAATTCGATATTGTAATGTTATCTTAATTATTATATGTAAGAGTAAACGACTTTTTCTCACCCAAAAAATGGTTTAATGACACTTTCTCACCCACAGACTTTTAAAATACCACTGTACTATCCAAATTTATATTCTGTTTTCGATTCCAGCATCTTTGTGGCCCTACATCACAATCATTCTCTTCTCCAATTATCACTCACTAAAATCTTTCAAACCCTATTCCTGTCGACATTACCAATCTTCGGTAATCGAGCGATTAGAGTTTGTGCGATTATCCCTTCTAAGGCAAATTTTGATTAATCTCAACCACCAAAATCTAACATTTTAGCATCAAAAGATGTATGGGCCTCCACTTTTTAAAAGCCTCAACAATTTGGTTTGAGTTTGTTCTTTGTTCGTCTCTAGAATATAAATTTGGATAATAAAGTAGTAATTTAAAAATCTATAAGTGGGAAAGTGTCATTAAACCAATTTTTGAGTGGGAAAAAGTCGTTAACTCTATATGTAATAGTAAATGTTCAACTACTTTAAATTCAGTCGTACGTAAACATACTTATGGCAAAATTAAAATTAACCTTTTGGCAGAATCAAATTCGAGAGCCATGCCAAAATAACACTGCCAAGTGCCAACCACAATTCTGAAATACAACTGATGACTAGCTCTACAGTGAACTCATTGCAACATTGTGTATACACTAATAACTCAAAATATCATATCATTTCATCATACATTTGATTTTGGGTTAAAATCATCTTATCTTGACAGAGTAATATCAGCCAAATCTTCTCTGTAAGGCACATGGCCCGACTCAATCCCAATAGGGTTTACAAGTCCATTCTCCATGTGAACTTGGGCCATTGGGTCTTCTTTTGTTGGCTCAGTAAATGTTACAACAGTATCTTTCCGAAAAGCTAAATAGATAACTGCTAAAATATAAATGGCCATTAGGGGAAACACTATCACACCAATTACAATATTTCCAGCTTTGGGTAAATGGTTGTGGATTAGCCAACCCACAAATCCTGTGCTTAGGTAATACACATTGATGCCCATGATTCCTAAACCCAAGATCCATGAAATAAGAATAATCTGCATGTATTTAAAAACAAAAAAAACCCTAATTAGAAAGCTAGAGGGAGAAAACATAAAAATATTGAAAAAAAACACAAACTTACATAAATAGAATTCTTGTGAGGTCCCATCTTGGTGCTACTGCTACTGAATTTAAGAAGAGGGATCAGAGAAAATGGCAGTTCAAACGACAGTATCATCTGTGCAAACAAAACTTATAAAAATATTACAACTGGTTTAACTTAATCATGGGTTTAACTTTAATTAATAATCCGAATTTAATGATTATTTTTCTAACCGATGCAATTATAATTAGTTTGCCTGCTCCCTGAGGTCCACCAATAATTGAAACAATAAGACTTGGTAAAATGGCAATGCTCCTTGTCATCAAGTTTCTCATCCATTGCTTCATCTTTAAATCCAAGAAGCCCTGAAATTAAATAACCCATAAGCCAAATAATGTAGGGAAGAAAATTGTGACTAATGGAGTCTGAATATTGTTCAAGTTTTTTAATTCTTTTTTACAACCTGCATGATGAATTGTCCAGCATATGTGCCTGTGATTGAGGAACTTTGCCCTGAGGCTAGTAGTGCAATGGCATAAACAATCGAACTCGATTTTCCCAGCACATTCTGTACATAGTATTCAAGTTTTCTTTAATATAGAGATCAAGTTTCATTTGTCAAGAGTCAATAAAAGTAGCCAAAATCGAATGAGTCAGACCTTTAGAAGAAAAGAAGCCGAGTTTAGAGTCATAGCAGTGCATTGATCCTTGCTATAAGCGGAGAGGTTTGCGGCGGAGCAAACAGTGCCTGAGACTGAGATTACTGCTACATTGATTAAAAATGCTAAAAAGAGGGCCAATCCACTTTCTATGAGGAAATATCTACATGCATCCTGGAATTAAAATTAGAATATCAGCACC